AAATTCTTGCTCCCTTCGGTCCCATTCCTGCTGAAAGTGGTATGCATACATCTGAATCCTTATATGTACGTCTTGAATTTCTCGACGTGTGCGTGGTATCGGATTCACTACACTATGAAGATCATTCCGCAACCATGTCTTATATTTGTTGACATGCCCAACTTCATATCTATTCTTGGCCATATCCCACTTCATGTTGAAACGTCCGGCGCATTCCTGGAGGATGATCTTAGTGAAAGGTATTTTGCCGTTCTTGTGGTAATGGACAACAAAGGAGCTAGCATCCCCTTGGACGGGTATGACTTGTGTTCTACAATATTGTCGCATCACTCTTGCCGGGTTGTAGGGCCGCAATTCTCTAATGCCAGGAAGGACTAAAAAATGGAAGCTTGGCCCCTTATGCCGCTATCCTCCAAGACTTGAAGTTTGGTAACATCCACTGTATATCTCCTTCTTTAATATCATAAAATACCGTCGCCCACACATCCCTGGTGCTTTGAAATCTGCGGACACTAAGATAGAATTCATAATTATCAAGAGGACTCATCTTGCTCGGTTTGTCCAACTCCTGTGGCCAGGCGCCATCCCTCTTACAGAGATGCTGAATCAACCACAATTGAAGTAGAATGTTGCAACCTTTGAAAAATGGGGACCCATTTTTACACAGACTTAAAGATCGATAAATGTCGGCCAAAATGATCGAGGCCAAGCTACAGTACTTCTTTTGTTCTTGTTTTCTACCAATTCCTCTTAAAATGGCGTCCACTACTATCACGACCCGGGTGTCGATTTCCTTTCCTTCATCTCTAGGGAACACCATAGTTCCTTAAAGGCACGTAGAGAAAGCGATAGTCTGAGTTTTCCTCCAGGTGCTTTTATCATGAAATTCATTCGGAAACAGTCTTAAAAAACTATCATGCCCCCATCTCTCGAAAAATCTAATTAGGGGTATATCGTGGGCTTCCAACCAGTTCGCGTTTACTAGTAACAATATATTCTTCAATTATTTTCTTGTTGGCCTATCTAGAAGAAGTATGTGATGATTTGGACATTTTTTTCCTTTTGCCACATGTCCCGATAGAGTCTAGACAATCCTTAATTTCCTCTAGCGTGGGCGTTATTTTGACATCTCCAAATTGAAAAACCATTATCTTATCATCCCTGAATCGAGTGATAAACTCGATAAATGTGGTCCAAACCTTGAAGTCCACTATCGAAGGTAAGTGACCCAAGTGAATCGAGATTTCTCTCTTTTGACAATCTTTGAGGTTATCCTACCATACGCAAAGAATGTCAGGTGTCTTGGTGACCATGTTGAAATGGAGGAATTGATTCGACATCTACAAAACATACAACAAGTTAATTGTCATTCCCCATGACACAACAAACATTTAAACACGCAATACATCCTTCAGATTTTTCACACAAATATGATCGTCCTATTGACTCATGGGCTCTTTGGACTCTAGGCGGCCTTTCTAATTGGACCAACACTCGTTGGGTGTTGATCGTCTAAGGCCAATGCGCTATTTTTGGGATTGGGTTTCCCTCTATCACGTAACTTCTCATCGATAAATTTTTACATGCATTCTATAGAATTGAAAATTCCACTTAAATCATATCCTCTGCAAATGTTGGTTGTTAAAAAAATCAATTATAATTAGTGTAAGAAATGTCTTCAAAGAAAAGAAAATGCTAATGAAGAACCATCAATGTAATAATAAAAAATGTATATGTATAAAAGTGTTTTCTTCAAGTAGGTTAGTCCTTTGCAGTGTAACTATTTATTACCAACACTTTCTGAAGTCACCTTACTTATCCAAAACTGTTTGTCTGAACATATATAGGGAAAATACGTAAAATAATAATAAAATATATTTAAATCGTCAATCATATAAACTGAGAAGAGATTTATTCAATTGAAGCAGAAGATCATTATTGGGTCACTCCTCCATACATCAAGCATAGTCCTTCTTGAATTTCACCAAGCACATTCATCTTTTCTTTAAATTATGTCTTGTCAAAATAATCAACAACAAGGACTAAAAGGTCACAATAAATTAGCTACGATTTACTAAAAATACAATTATAAGAATGTTACACGTTCTCCTAAGCAATGAAAAATAAGACAACACATGATCTGAATGAGTTACTTCTTGCCTAAAAATACCATAAGTTTCTCCTTTTGATGAGGACACATCAAGTTTACAAGAACTGACAAAATTATTGTTTACTACCATTTACAAAGTCACAAGTCATTATGAAATCAAATATTTCAGACATATAGTACAGAAGTTGAATGTAGAAATACATATCACATACATCTCACAACTAACAATTTCACTTCCCTTTCATTTGTTGCCCTCACAAAATCCATTCATGCATATCTCTCCAATAATTCAAGCCTACAACTATGTTCAAAATTAGTTATACTAAATTGATAGGAAATTTCATAACGTTATTAATATTTGGAAGTGCATATATAAAGGTTTAAGCAAATATTCATTTATAGTGATGTTAGAGTAATAAACAAAAAGACTGTATTCACAAAAAATAATGTTTCTTTACTTGCAAAGACCAACGTAAGGCTAAGTAACCTCTAAAAAACTAAAAAGTATAACAAAAGATAAAAACATATCGTGTCATCCCAAAATCCTACATATTACAGAAGGAAATGAATCTCGAAGGACATAAATATTAGCTTCTTTATTCATAAATAGTAATGTTATCAGGCAAGCTCAATCGTAGAGCAAAGAAACTCTTTACAAAAAAAATACACAACTCTCATAAACTCTCCAGACAAAATTTCTTCAAGTGAAAAGAAAGATTACAAAATCAAAAGAGGAGATTAGTTGAATTGAAAGGAATAACATAAAGATACTTACAAGAGACAGACACAAGGAGAAATGTTACGAAAACAACATAAATTATATCTAGGAAACATCACTAAGAAGATTTTCAACTTTCACATATACAAACTATAATAACTAATGAAATTCATTTTGTTTCATTGTATTTTAAATTAAGAATTTTAGTTTTGATGTTTTGTTGATTCGAGTAGAAAGTATATATGTAAAACTTTAGGAAAGTTCAAATACATATCTTTAAAAATTCTATGCATAAATGGTACAAATCAAGTTATAATAATGTCTCTCCTCTGCTTGTATTCAAATTTTACTGTACATGTTCTCTAAATTTGTCAAGCAGCTTAGTCAAATCGGCTGAGACTTCTTTCTCTAGAAAATTGGTATATCAATTTTCTTGTACAGATTAAACTGCATTGTATTATAATTACACATCATATCATAGAAAACTATTTTTTATAGTCAGTTACTTATCCCTTTGAGTCAAGCCTAGTTATAACTATTTGTCTTGATCCTTCTACCCCTGCTCCCTCTTTCCATTGTTTACTCGAGAGAGGGTATTAGAAGTGAAGATAATAGAAGTCGAACGTAAAAATATATGATTGGATGAGTCATTCAAATAGCAAACCATCATATACCAATATGCCTTGCCTCAACAAAACAAAGGAACAAAGAGTAACACCATGATCAAATTAAGCATTAAAAATCGATTCTTCTAATGGAATGCCCTCCTTTGGTTTTTAGATGCGGGTCAATAGCCCTTTAAATAGACATAAGACTCTCTTTTTAAAAAAAATACTAAAGAATAATTGTATCCATATTAATCTAGATGGCTTGGCATTTTCAAGCATCATATAAACATATCCCAAAATGAAATCAGGAACCTATCATAGTGTATCTTAATCGATATTTTATCAAGAAGTTAAATACGAAATAGTTTAAATATTAGAGATCTCTTAGAATAAAACTGATAGCATCATAGTTGCTAATCAAACAAAAGAACGACCACCCTGATTTCTTCCAAGAAAATATCAGAATGTATGCATGTAATGTATTAGTTAATCACTTAAAGATTACAAAATACAGACCACTTTTTGAAAGGATTTCTGTGATACAAAATGCTGCTATGTCTAATAACTATGAAAAGAAACATTCGGGAAAAGGATGTATATTGTGGTACAGATACATCTGTGCGCATAGAGAAATTAGTAACAAAGAGAGAATATTGGAGAGAAAAGAGCAATTAATTTAGAAGTACTTGGACAACTAAAAAAGGGCATGGATATAAAACCATAAGAGTGCCTTCCAAAAAGAATAAAGTTATTCTTTACACAATGATACAATAAAAAAGAAAATTAGCAGCTAAAAATATAGAGTTATCCAACAATATGGTGATGATTTTTGAATGTATAAATAATTTACTATATTAGATTAAAAATTTTATCTACAAATGGAGTTGAGCATATTATCTATGTGTCAATACCAACATCAAGGACCAGAAGTAACGTGAGAGGCATTGGCGTAGTCAAGTGAAAATACCATATAAAAAAGATAGTCCTAATCGATGGTTGTAAAAATGAAGGACACAATATATATTGAATAAGTTGAAAATAGAAAATCAACATGATTGATGAACTTTATGAACATATTGAAACAATACTTCCCAAGAATTCAAAAGTCAGTGAATGAACTTTGATTTAAAGTTAAAAGAAGCCTAAGAGGGAACGAACATTTTTCATATTCACAGAGGCACTACGAACTCCAAATGCAAAGTCTATTGTACTAAAGTTCAAATTTGCATAAAGCTTGTAAATGATTGTGATACTGTATGCCATAATTGTGATATTGTCTGCCATGATTGTATGTTTTTTCTCAAAAGGCTTCACACCATAAAGCGATTCTACATCTTATATATAGTTTTCCATGTTTTCTAAAGAGATGCATTACCTCTCTAGATTATGTCCAATAATGTGTCAACACAACCATAATGAACATAAAAGATACTGATTTTGTGGCTGTTAGTAGATTTAACTAATCAAAAAAACCCTCTATATCTTAATCCCCATCTGTAAGCATGTAATGAAAAAGCGAATGAACTTTTTGTTCTCCATAGGTATTTAGTACTCACTTTCTAGATGACAAAACCTTGTAGATTAATATCAATGCAATCATTATTTAAGTACATGAAGTGATGTACAATCTAGAATAAATATAAAAAAATATAGAAAAGAGAAGCTCACTGAGGCGTGATCATCAAGTTCATATCGTTTTGGAACATTTAGAATAAAGTATTTCACTATAACTTAAACATATCATATCTCACACAAAGATGAAGACACATGCTCTAAGTCTCACATTGCTTTGTTTTGCTCCATTTTACAATGATCCATCACTACACATCCCCTCAGATTTGCTTGATATTTTCGATTATAATAACCCTACACTATAAAAATCATGTAAGTATCAAATGTATAAATGAAGAATGATATTTGTAGGGAAAATAAATGAAGAAGTCTTTTGCTTGGTTCGAAGATACTATTAAACACCTTTGTTGCACAAAATCTTAAATTAAGTTAATCATGAAATATAAATTTTAACGGAAGAACACAAAATCTGCTACACGTCTCATAAGATTACACCTGAATAACTCAATTCAAACATAAATATTCAAATTCATTAAAACAACCCAAAAAATAAACGATGATATACAGATAATGAGAGTGCGATAAATAAACACAGATTGCTTTAAAACCTAATAAAAACATAATTAAATACCCAAGCAAAACATTTCACCTTTGTTGGTGTCATGCTTTTCCAATAGCTTTCCATCTACCTTTGAGATTTTCTTCCATCTCAAATAGACTTGGATTAATGAAGCATGATGAAATTTGAGAACCATTAAAAAGAAAATTTGTATAGTTTTAGAGAGAGAAATTATGTGAAATTGGAAATCAATTAAAGAAAACAGTGTCATATGCAAATGAAGGAAATAAAATCAAGTGAAAGTTTACACGTGGTTTGATGAGAAAGAAGTGCAATACACGTGTAGACTTACTTTCACATTGAAAATAAAATGATATTCAATGACAAATCAAACTCGTCGAAGTTTATAGTACAACTTATAATGTTGCTGGTACAATTTATAATTGCATTGTTAGTCCTCGTTAACTCCCATTTCTAAATAAGGGATATGATAGGATGAGAAAAAGTAACATAAATATACAACTATAAGTTTATTATTCTCTAATTTTTCCTACTTTTTAAAAAAATACGTAAATTCCTTTTTTACTTTGTAATCATAATATTGTCACATAACACTCTCTCTCATCTCACACATGTTTCATCCATATGTCATGCCTATTGTTTCTCCACAAATACACTCAATTAACTGAATCCTTTTTATCCATAACTACACTCAATATCAATTTTGTATTTCAAATTATTACTCTCTCAATCAAGCACATTTCTTAACAACATAAATCTGAATTTTAAAAATTCAACTTTATGAAATCTGTATGATACATCCGTTATTTCTTTGATTCTTCTTTTTCTTCTTACTCCACCCGAACATAAAGTCAATTTTTTTAATTTATATTTACTCTTGTTCAACGTTATCTTCTCTCATATATATGGATCATGTTACGAATCGAAGGATATATGATTCTAATGATGAAGATTAGGAAGAAAATAGAAAAAATTCTTCGCATGATCCTTTGAATTTGAGGAAAGAGCCAAACAAAGATATTTAGTAATTTTCTAAATGAAAGGTTGCAAAAATACCCCCCCCCCCCAAAAAAAAAAGAGAAAAATATCAACAACTAGTATTGTCATACCCACATTTCTTATGGTATGTCATTTTTATTCTTCCTTAAATTGTTTTGAAAGATATAGTACATTTGATACATATCGTTATAATGTGTTATAGTGTTTAGTCAATTCAATGAAGAATGAATTAAAAATGTGTATCAGATATTTTTTTATGTATCTTGAATCTTTGAAAACTGGTATCATGTATCACAAAGGGATTTGTTGTTTTATTTAGTATGTATATTCAATATCATTAAAAATTGTATTTTATTCAAATTGCAGCCACTCAAGTACAAGATAAAAAAAGATACCAACAGATCCCATAAGGTTTGTTGTCAATTTTAGCAACAATTTTCAGAAGGATTTTCAAGACTCTATAAGGGAGATGTATTCTAACTGTTTAGGGCTACAATATTTGGACCCTTTTTAGATACTACTAAATGTAATTTTCAGGACAAATCACTAAGTGCTTGTTGTTGTTAGAGTTGGAACAAGGCAACTATAATGTGTTGCATATTATACATGCGAATAAGTGTATCCTAAAATTTGGTATATATGAATTTTTAATAATAACTGGAGTTAAAGTCAAAGGCACTACCAATGATTTTCAATACCCAGAATAAACTCCCTGTATGCTATTCCAGAAGTATTTTCCAGTGCATTGAATAGTGTTACCAAGAATAAACTAGTCCAACAGTTTAAGATGGGCAACTGGGAGAACGATTAGGATGCACTCCAAATGTCTATATTGTTCTTTATTCATACATTCGTCTTGACTAATCTTGATAATACAATTATATCTATTGTGAATTTTCTAATGTTTCAAGATGGTAGATATCGAGATTATCCTTGGGGTCAACTTTCATTCTCAAATCTCATCAGTTCACTTAGATAGGATTTTGATGTTAGCAAAATTTTTTTATCATTTATATGGACTGCCGTATGCACTAAACATATGGATATACGAATGTGCATCCCAGTTAAAATTTGAAATTGCTAATGAAAGAATGGAATGTCATCCCAAGAATGTGTAATTGGAGAGGTGCGTAAGGCAAAGTTTGAAATGCTTATGTCTAGCATTTTCCAAGAGGTAAAATTAAATAGTTTTTTACTGTGAAAATTAAATATTTCAAGTTTGTCTTTTTAATATCATTATTTTATGTGTTGTGATACATTGTGTTGTGTCTTAATTATTTTCTGTGTTGTGATACATTATGTCTTGTCTTAACATTTAAATTATTTTCTGTGTTGTGATACATTCAAAATGCATGTTCAAACATTGTCCCAACAACGGAGGAACGTGAAGCTTTTGACATAGTTGATGTTGAACATGCTCCTCTCTCTTTACCAGCCTTAGTACAACCAAATGACAAAGATGATTTTGATGATTTCTCCACCAAAACACCCGAACAGTTATTGAGTAGATCTTCGAGAGTGTCTGATACATCTCCTCCACCACCCCTTAAATGAAGAAAAAAAGAGATTAAACATAAAGCAAAGGTTTCAGAAGATAGTCAGCATGATCAATCAATTGTGTCTCCGACCCCGACTGCTGATGTACATGTTTCTATTCAAGACGTGCCTCCGACCCCGGCTACTGATGGACATTGCTCTACATATTCTCAAAAAGTCCACTATGTAATTCCAAATATTGAAGGGTTGAACGATTATTGAAAATTACGTATGTTTATTATTTTGATATATTTACCAAAATGTAATTTATATTTATCCTAAATGTATTTACAATTCACGGTTGACAAGAAATTTAAAGAACTGGTTATATTGATAATAGAAAATCACTCCCAGTTGATGCAATCTCTACGCAAGGAAAACATAAATGTTGAGACTAATTCAAGCACATTTCATTTTGAGAAAAAAACATCTCCACAAATACAGATTGATCTTATTAATATGGGTGGTGTAGCTGAGGATGATGTTGATATTTCTGGTAACGAGGGTGAACATCAACTCACTAAAGATGTGGGGGATGTAGCTGAGGATGGTGTTGGTGTTTCTGGTAACGAGGGTGAACATCAAGTCACTAATGATGCAGGGGATGTAGCTGAGGATGGTGTTGGTGTTTTTGCTAACGAGGGTGAACAACAAGTCAATGTTACTCCAAAGGTATGTTTCTGATATATTGTATATATTTTGTCATTAAGTTATTGTTATGTTTTATGCACATCTACTCACTGTTATGTATCATGCACATATAGTCACTATTATGTAGCATGTACGTAAAGTTAAGTTGATTATTTTAACTTAATTTAATCTTATATCTCATTCAACACACACACACACACACACACACATATATATATATATGATAGGAAAAAACAATGACTAACTATTCAGTCGATGAAAACTCCTAAAACACCCACAATTAGCACAAACAGTTTCTTTTTTAGTTCCATCATCACCTTTCTTCATAAATTCACGACAGCTATCAACCGAATAGTCACCAAACATAGAAGTATGATCTTACGCATATACCATATTTTATCTTCATATCACCATTTGAATTTAGCTTGTGTTGCTTGTCATTTGCTTTTTTTTTCGGCTAACGCTTTAAGGGTGAAGTTTTAGTTTTTGCCTTTTGGTTTGAGTTCAAAAGGTTTTTCATAGTGTGAGTAATTGTTTAATTTTCAACACACAATTAATTTTCTATTGACATAATTCGTGATGAGATTATCTGTAATAATGTAAATTTACATAAGCGATGTTACATTAAACTCACCATTTACACAATGTTTTAATGTAGCATCACTTATGTAAATTTACTTTATTACAGATAATCTCATCATAAATTATGTCAATAGAAAATTAATTGTGTTTTTAAAATTAAACAATTATTCACACTATTAAAGACCGTTTAAAATCAAACCAAAAGGCAAAAACTAAAACTTCACCCTTAATGCTTTAGGCAAAAAAATATAAAAAGCAAATGACAAGCAACCCAAGTTATAATCCAAATGGTGATATGATGATAAAATATGGTATATGCCTAAAAATCATGATACTAAGTTTGGTGACTATTCAGTTGATGGATGTCGTGAATTTGTGATGAAGGGTGATGATGGGAACTAAAGAAGAAACTGGTTGTGCTAATTGTGGGTGTTTTAGGAGTTTTCATCGAATGAATAGTTATTCATTGTTTCTTCCTATCATATATTATGTGTGTGTGTGTGTGTGTGTGTTTGTGTGTGTGTGTGTGTGTATATATATTCATATATGTATACATATATATATATATGTGTGTGTGTGTGTGTGTGTGTGTGTGTATTCATATATGTATACTTATATATATATATATATATATATATATATATATACATACATACATATATATATATATGTGTGTGTATATATTCATATATGTATTTATAAATATCTACATATTGTTTTATCAAAAAGAAGAAAAACATTTATTTCTAGGGGGTTTTCGACTTTTTAGAGTCGTCACTTAATTTTCTAGGAAAATTAAGAAAACTTGATTTTTCAAAAGATTAAATAGAGAAAAATCAATTGAAAACCTTTTAGGGGGTTCAGGGATTCATATTAATGTCTTAGGAAGGTTTGAAAGAACCTAAGACATTCCGTTAACCTACGGTTTTCCAGCAACTAATGTAGTTGGCTAAAAAAATAAATTAGGCTTTAAAAATAACAAAAATACATCGACAAATAAGCGATTATTTATAGTTCCCATCGTCATACGGCTTATCACTTATTCCTAATTGAGATTTGCATTGATTGTATTTGAGATAGACAGGGAGAGAAAGTAATATCGGAGCAAAACCTAAACTCATATAACAAGCTACCAAACTATTATGTTTAACCTTACAATCTAAACAAGATATATCGTAAAACAATATTATGTAAATTATGCTTAATGTCAGTATGCTCATACTCTAGACAACCTTAATGATGAAATGTTAAATTAGTATGACTAAGACACGAGGCAGAAGAAAAAAAAATTCCAAACAACTTTTAACATACAATTCTATAAAGCTTTGAGAATTGGAAGGTAAAACAAGGAAATACTCATGTTTATATTGAATCCATAGGCAAATATAATCACCATTTTTCGACTAATCATCAAAAGATATAAAGGCCCAACTTGATCCCAACGAGTTAACAAGCATTAAGATAATTGAA